ACATCTGGTGAAAATTTCATGTCATTAGCACCTCTAGTAATATATTTACTGAGAAAAATGGTGACGTGTTCAATACTTATTTTACCCGCTGTATTTGAACAAATTGTTTCTTGTTTGTCAAATAACTACATGCCCACTTAATACCGGACCTCTTATACCATATTTGTTCAATTTCTCAAGAAGAATGCTCTGATCAATAGTGTCAAATGCTTTCTTTAAATCAACATAAACACTAACATAAATTTGTTTTTGGTTAACAGCTTTTGTTATTTGTTCTATCAGATCCATGATAGCCATTGATGTTGAGGTCTTAGCTCTAAAGCCGTACTACTCAAAACATTTTGTTTGTCAATGAATCAATCCAATCTGGTTACAAACATTTTTTCCAAAATTTTGAAAACTGAGGTAACAAGGACATGGGTCTATAGTTGGTAAACATGGATTTCTCACCATTCTTGTAAAGAGGAATTCCCTTAGCTATTTTCATTCCATCAGGAAATATCCCTGTCAAAAATGATAAATTACATGTGGCTCAACAACAGAACCCATTATTTCCTTCACAAGTGTCAAATCCATGTCCACCCTGTCTTTTGATTTTTTTTTCAGGAAATTTTTTTTACCATATTCATTATTTCTTCTTTGTCAGTTGCCTCAAGAAAAAAACTGTTGGTACAACCCATCACTGTATGAGTCACACTATCATTTACATTTGGTATTTCAGCAGAAAGACTTGGGCCAACATTCACAAAGTAATTATTAAATTAATTTACAATTTCATTCTTCTCATGGGTTTCATTGTCATCCTTAACAAAATATTGTGAAACACCTGGTTTCTCTTCTGATTCTTTAGTTCTCAACTTTAAGAAACATGAATACAAGTACTTTTTCTTTTTACAAGCATTTCTCAGTCCTTTTGTCATCCATGGATTGTCAATAATATTTGACTTTTTATAGTTGTTTCACACACAGTTCTTTTCATACAAAACTCCTAAGATATTCATGAAAATTTCATAAGCTTTTTTCACATCAGCAACATACACCTCTCTCCAGTTTTGTTTTCCCAGATCATCCTTCTCTTTATCCAAAACTTTTTTTGACATATTTATTGTTTTTTTTTTCTTGCTTGAGGCTGCCTTTTTTTACTGTTTTGATTCTTTTTTTGAAATCATGAAAACAGGTAAATGATCACTTTTATAAGTTGTCAAAATACCACTTATCACTTCTTCACTTGTTATATTAGTGAAAATGTTAATTATTGTGGCACTATGAGTTTCTGTGCAGAACTTGTGATCGCTTGCTTTACACATATTTAAAGTAAATCTTTTTGGCCACAATACATTCAGCAGCAGAGAACATGATGATGAGTCTTCTCAGGTGAGGACAGATTATAACTCATTACAGGGAGAAACCAGGCAGGATTTCAGGACAGGCTTCTCACAAATATTTCAGAAATTTATTCACACCAAAATATGTTTTATTTTTTTATTATTTCTACTTAGGTCCAAATGAAAAATTAAACTGATATTATTTTTGAAATATATTAAATTGAAAAATGACAGATTGTTTTAGTTCAAAAGCAAAAAACTGACATGAATGTTTAAAGACGTAGTTTATTTATTAATTTATTTCTTTTCAAATACTTGACTCTCGCCTTTTTTGTGTTCTTAAAGGCAGCAAGTATAGGTCATGACCATTTTTAGTAGCTTGATTAATCTTGCACATTCATTTCAATTCAATTCAGTTCAGTTCAATTCAATTCAATTTATTTATACAGCTCCAAGTCTCAACAAACATCGTCTCAGGGCACGGTACACAAAAAAATAATAAATCTAAAGAAGCCAGCAGGTTGGGTTGAATCTTCACTTCAACACAGTCTACCATCCTGAGCAGCACATTGGTGACAGTGGAGAGGAAAATCTCCCAGTTTGTGTGCTTAGTAACAAATTGTTTTCAGGAAATGTGTTTTACTGAACATTTCATGTTCTATGTTACCATTTGGCACTTGATCTGGCTACTTACCCTGTAGATATTGGAGGGTAATTGTGTCAACCAGAGTCTGGTAGCTAAAACTTTAGATTTTTTTAGTAAATACTGCAGTTTAAAGAACTAAACTGAAGTCTGGTGTTGTACTGTGGTTGTTACTGATTATATGTGTTTTAGCCACTAAGGAAAGGTGTGATTGATTGTGAGAAAATGAAAAAAATTACTCAAAACCCTGACAAATTTGTCCCCCTCACTTCTGAGATCGTGATTACGCCCTTGCGAGTGTTTATGTTTTAAGTTTGTAMGTGCTTCTTATTCTATTTTACTTAAGTCTGTGTCATTCAAACTGAAGGACATTTTTTTCACATGGCTGTATGTCATCAGAAATGTCTAGCACATATTTGAGACTATATGAACATACAGTATCAGCTGCAGATAAATGTATTTGTGTACCGTGGTGGTGTCAGTTTCTCCTCCAGGAACTCTTCGATCTTATTGACATCGACCTTGACCTCGCCATTAAATGTCATGAAAGGAGGATTGGTTCCTGGAGCCAGGTCCTGCAAATCAGCCGGTTTTCTGACAAATCAAAATGTAAACACGTTTAGTTACAATGGTAAACAGAATCAAGAAAACTGTTTTACTTTCTCAAATTCATGTTTTTGTTCATGTTGTGTAGCTATATGAACAAATCTTACCGTTTGAGGTCAACTGTTGTGATGCTAAAGGTGACTCCTTTCAACAACAAGATCATAAAGAGTCTCTGAGAGAAAGGACAGTTGCCGATGCTCTCCCCATCACTTCCTGCCTGTACACACACAAATACACAGACAAGTGAACACTAGAAATGATTGATATCAATGTTAAAATACACATAAATGTACTAAGTGATTAGTCAATCACATAGTATTTCACTCCTATGCCGTACTGGGATGCAACTTCTCAGCTTCTGTCTATTCCAAGTTCAAATGTCAGCATAAGTTAGAGCTAAAAATATTCATGTAGTTAAAAATAAATATATAAAGATTTTGCWTGTTTTACTGGGTGACTTCAATGCCCATGTGGGCAATGTTGGACTTATCTGGAAATGGAGGATTGAGAGCAACGGCCACCTTGATCTGAACCCGAATGGTGTTCTGTCTGTCGTTGGACTTCTGTGCTCAGCATGGGTTGTCCATAACATGTTTGAGCATAGGGTGGTCCATAAGTGTACTTGGTATCAGGCCACCTTAGGCCAAATGTCGATGATCAGTTTTGTAATCGTGTCGTCTGACCTGCGGTCCCATGTTTTGGACACTTGGGTGAAGAGAGGGACAGAGCTGTCAGTTGATCACCACCTGGTGGTGAGTTGGTGCCGATGGCAGGGGAGGTTGCCGGACAGAGCTGGTAAACTCAAACRGTGTGTGAATATGTTGAGCTGGGAACATTTGGTGGAGCCTCCTGTCCATGCGGTCTTCAACTCTCACCTTGGCAGAGTTTTTCACATGTCCTGGTGGAGGTCGGAATGGACTCTGAATGAGCCATGTTCAGGGCCTCAATGTGGCTTCCAGGAGCCTGAAGGATATTGGTGCCTGTTGCGGCGGCAGCCAAATGGTGATGGAGGCTGTCAGACTGAAGAAGACCTTCTGGACTTGGCTTTCCCAAGCAGCTGACAAGTTAACACATTCTCACTCTTGACTCGTCACATTTTGATGCTTTTCCAAGGTTCCCTCTGCGTCTAATTTTGATGCAGTGTAACTGTGTACCCGACGCATCAGTTTTTGACACACCAGGCATTTCCGTGTTTCCTCAGCGTCCAGTTTTGATGCGTTGGGATGCAAAATATAGGGGTCTTTGACTTGGGGTCCGTGGTTAATATTAGGGATCAGGGTTAATGGTTAATTTTAGGTAGTTGGGTCAGGGATAGTATGTCTAGGGCAAATATTTGGTAATTTTAGGCTTTGGGACACATAGTTGACGTGAATTTCCTACACTTTCTAAAAATGGTTAATTTTAGGGATCAGGGTTGATGTTTAATTTTAGGTACTAGGGTCAGGGACAGGATGTCTAGAGTGAATAAAGGTAATTTTAGGCTTTGGGACAGTTAGTTTTTGTGCATTTTCTACACTTCCTGAAATTATGACCATGGATTCCGCCCCATCTCATCAATAACTGACGCGAGGRGGGTACCCGATGCATCAAAACCGGACGCAGAGGGAACCTCGGAAAAGTGTCAATATGTGACGAGTTGGGAGTGAGAATGGATTGGACAGGTACAGAGTGGCAAAGAGGGTCACAGCTTCAGTGGTTGAAGATGCAAAAATGTGAATATGGGAGAAATTTGAGGAGGCCGTGGACTTTTGGTGGGCCTTGATGAGGTTCTGGCAAACTGTTCGGCAACTCAGAAAAGGAAAGTGCTCCCTGTTCCAAGCTGTACTTGATTTGGGTGGGGGACCTGGAGTGAGGATATCGTTGGGCGGTGGAAAGAACACTTTGAGGATCTCCTCAATCCACCCTATATGGTCTCAGCTTGTTTTGATATAAACCATCCATCAGTCAAGTCTAATAACATTTTATTAACCTTTAATTGGATGAGTCTCAAATCTTTGTGGTGTTGGTTTTAAGCAGCTGTACGTAATGTGAATGCAGTCAGTAATGATAGGTGAGTTAGTGTTAGTGTACTCCTGTGGTAAGAGCTCTCTGCATCAAAGAACAGGCTAATCAGATTAAATAGTGAGAATGTAGAGATTAAGCCTGTATGCTACTGGTGACAGAATACACAGGCACACCACTTAGCCATTAGCGCACTCCACATCCCCAACAACAACAAGACAAACAGTGATTATGGCTTAGAGAAAAATACAACAATCACTATAATGGAACCAATTTGTTCAGTTCACACAGTTCAACTTTTGGAGGAAAAGAAGAAAGTCCCTGATCTTTCTGATGGACCCCTTATCTGCACTTTAACTATTCCTAAATATTTCCATCTACCTTCATCAACTGGGCTCTTGACAAAGAAAGCCATTGTTGGAATGTGAGGCCTCATAAAACCACAAGCTTAGTGTACGAGAGTCTGAGGCAGGGTTCAGATATTAATGAGTTGTTTTGTTGGAGTTAAACCGCTTAAGATCCTTTTTTAATTTGTGGCCTGTTTGGAATGTAACACTGAACCTAAGAGCAGAATAAGCCTCTCTGTGTTGATGAGACATGCTTATTTCCAGTTTAGTTCAGTTTATTTTAAGGAGGGGTATTATGCAAAGTTGACTTTTTGAGCTTAATAACATATTATAATATCATTCCCTCATCAAAAACATACCTAGAGTGCTGCTTTGACTCATTTTTGCATGTTTGTGAAATCCTTTAATCTCATGTGAAGCCATTTGGAGCTACCTAAAAACTTGCTGGTACAAAGCTCCGCCTATTTGTAGAAAGCTCCTCCCCGGAGTTCATTCTGCAGCTGAGTTCCTGCACCACAMAGCCCCCTTCTCAAGTGACACCTGAGGTAATCCCACCTTCACCTTGAACCCTTGTTACTCTAACCATCTCATCATTACCTCACTGTACTACATGTCCTGTAAGTATTTATTGAATACTAGAGGAAAATGGATATTCTTTAATAAATTCTGTGTGAAATATGGATTACAGGAAACCAAATATTTTTGAAGAGCTTTCCCTCAAAATTATGGATTATAGATAGATTTTGAAAAGCTTAGACCAGTGGTTTCCAGTCCTGGTCTTTGAGAAACCCTGTCCTGCATATTCACCGTAGTATTTATCAAAGTGGAACACTGGTGTTTTACAGAGACGCCGCTTCAAAATGTTGTTTTAATTTGACAACAGCTGCTACTGAAGGTTGTGTGCTGCTAATGTATCAAACTAACTTAAGTGGGATTTTATTATGAAAACACACAGTAGCCCTTAGGTTGCTTCAAGCAGAGCACTGCTTAACGTTTTAGATAGTGGTGATGGATTTGAACAGTGGTGGACACAGTTCCACTCATCCACTGACTCACTAATAGTAGAACTAATAGTTTGATGAGTAGTTTATTGTTTTCATTCTTTATTTTTAGGGGTGTCAGAGGCAGGCTTACTTTACCCCCCCCCCCCCCTCCCATTTTTTTTGGTCAATTTAGCTTTTTATATTTCGCAGAACTAAAGGCTGGTTTATACTTCGAGTCTCACGTCTTGGTCCCCCTGCTGAGTGACTAAAAATTGCATAATTTTTTTCAGCTATCCCACTGCTGTTCCCCGACGAGGAGCAGGACCGGAACAGGACTCTCTGGATGTCTTTCTGCTTCTCTGAAGCTGGTTGTTAAGATTTGCAAAGCTAGCTGTTTGGTTGGCTGTGCCCACCACCAATTAAGTCTAATAATATCAAGAAAAAATATTTAATTGGTTGATCTGGAAATTGAAATCTATTATTTTGTAAATTACAATTAAAAACACCCTGTGCTCTTTGACTGCAGATAGTCATTTGTTTTAGTGTATAGGTATGTGAATCAGACATGCGAAGACATTAGGTGACATCCTATTAGTGATGTCCTAATCCAACAGGCGTAGTAGTCTACAATATGTCAAGCATGTAGGTCTAGAGGTTGTAGCACTTGAAACTCACTGTTCAGTTAATACAATGAGGTTGGCACAACTAACCAAAAATGTTTACTCCACTAACTCATAAATCACTAATTAGAAATATATAACTTTGTTAATGCAAAACATAAAAAATTAGTACAAGCTAACACTAAACAAATATATACTGTATATATATGTGTGTGTGTGTGTGCGTGTGTGTGTGTGTGTGTGTGTGTGTGTGTGTGTGTGTGTGT